AAGCTCTCTGTGAACAGGGGAACTGCCTAAATCAAAGGCTGATCTTCAAACATAAAAATACAGGTGTACTCGTAACAGACCTCAAGAGACTTGGAGAAAAGTTTTAGGAGAAAACATTTTCAATCTCTATGTTCTGTTGCCCAGTTCACCACAATGTTTACCTCAAATATTAAAAACCAGCAACATCTAAGTATTTTGTTACAAGAGGTAGAAGCAAAACAACAAAATTTGACAATATTTTAAAAAGTTGGCACCAGTTATCTAGGATAACATTCCTTAGAGATTTTAGAGTATACAATGGAAATGTGATATAGATAACAAATATTGATGGAAAATTGGGCCTTGGCATGTGCATTAAAGAATAATTTTACTAGCAAAAAGAAATAGGGGGGAAAAATCACATGTCAAAAAAAAAAGGAAATTTATTTTAAATCTAAATAACGCCCATGGACATAGACAATAGGTTGGTAAAGGCTGGGGCAGGTAGAAGGGAAAAAAAGGGGAACATATGTAATACTTCACGAATAAAGATTTAATAATAATAATAATCCTATATAATAAAAGCCTAATATGCAAATCCACCAAATGTCAGAACAACTTGTGGAACAATCGGTTGCTATGATTCATACTGACCACCAGGGGGCAGACGCTCGATGCAGGAGCTGCCCCCAGCCCAGAGACCCCAGGCCAGCCAAGGAGGGTGCCAGCAGGGCAATAAGGGGGCAGGGCTGGTGAGTGAGCAGCACCAGGCCGGCCAAGGCAGGTGCCAGTGGACACCCCCTCTCCCTCCCCCCCCCCCCCCCGCAATCATCCCGCCAGCCACCTCACAGAGGGAGGCAACCCGAGGCGGGGGGTGGGGAGGGCAGTGAGCAGGTGGCTCCAGGCCAGCCAAGGAAGGTGCCAGTAGGGACCCCCCCAATTGCCCCGCCAGTCACCCCACAGATTGGCCCTGATTGCTAGCCAGACCTAGGGACCCTACCCATGCATGAATTTCATGCACCCGGCCTCTAGTAAAATATAAAATCTAAATAACTGGGCAAGTTAATTTTCACATATCTGTAAATAAAAAAGTATTAAAATACAAAATAGCTCAACCAGTGTAGCTCAGTGGTTGAATGTCCACCTAAGAACCAACAGATCATGGTTTGATTCCGTCAGGGCACATGCCAGCATTGTGGGTTCAATCCCCAGTAGGGAGCATGCAGAAGGCAGCTGATCAATGGTTCTCTCTCATCACTGATGTTTCTCTCTCTCTTTTCCTCTCCCTTCCTCTGTGTGTGTGTGTGTGAGTGTGTGAGTGTGTGTGTGTGTGTGTGTATTTAAAGTGGTCTTTAAAAAATGCAAAATAATTATAGTAAATGTAATACAAGTACACCGTTAATACTTAGGAGAATTTATAAATATCACATATATGCACTAAGATTTCAGTGCAATAACAGGCAAATGTCAAAGAGAAATACAAGTTAAGTTACTGAAAAATTGCTCACTCTAGTCACAGAAATGCAAATTAAATAAGGTACGACTTTTCACAATGGAATTAGCAAGAACTAAAAATGATGCACAGCCCTAATTGGTTTGGCTCAGTGGATAGAGTGTCAGTCAGCTGACTGAAGGGTCCCAGGTTCGATTCTAGTTAAGGGCATGTACCTTGGTTATGAGCACATCCCCAGTAAGTGGTGTGCAGGAGGCAACTGACAGATGTTTCTCTCTCATTGATGTTTCTAACTCTCTATCCTTCTCCCTTCCTCTCTGTAAAAAATCAATAAAACATATATATTTTTTTAAATGATGCATATATCCAATGAAGGTATGGTAATATTTTAGGTGCAGTTATATATTGCTAGAAAGATATAAACTCATATAATTCTTTCAAAAGCCAAGTTCATAATACATATTTTAAGAACCTTAAATTATTCCAAGCCCTTGACCCAATAATTGCATTTCTGGGAATTTATCCCATGAAATAATGCAAACAACAACAAATGAAATCATTATGCATAAAAATGTTCATTGAAACATTATTTATAAAAGTAGGAAGGAGGGAATCTATCTATCTATATGCACATGCTGCACTATTAGCATTATATTGGGACAAAGAAAATAATCAAATAACCATATGGTGAGGTAGAGGGTTGGGAGGATTTCACAAAAGTAACTGTTCCCAAGTGTATTAAAAAATAAGCAGATTTTACCAACAAAAAAGGGAAATATGAATTTCATACAGAGTACATAGGGTGCAAAATCATGGCATCACGAAATTCTATATTTAAGTACGGTACATCTGTAATATGTTTAGAACATGCTGCTTCCTATCTCCCAATGGTTTTCAGAAAGTGATGTTTTCCAGTGGTATAAACACACAGAGAACAAAAAGCACAAATATAAAATATTAGGCTAGCTGGATGTGATTAGTCATCTATGTATAATTTGATATACCAGGAGGCATGTAGAAGGATATTTAAAAAAACAGATGAAACTTTTCTTAAGCTAAACTCATCATGAGGTTGTATGAAATATTAGAAAGATTATCTAACTGGCTATTGGTAAGCCCCAGCCAATCTCTAATTCTCACTTACATCACCTAAAAGGAGAAAATAAGTGTTCAACTACATCAAATTATTGTTATAAAAAAATTATTGTTATAGTCATGTGAAATAGATTTGAACATAAGGTAATACAATCTTCTACCTCCCCAAACTAGCTCAACCTCATTCCTTTAAATTATTTTGTCCCTCATATTTATCCCTCTGCCCATACACATTGCTGCTAATCTAGTATTACCACCTGACACCAATTTCTACAGTAAACACTGGTCTTCTTTCCATTTAACAGATTTCTTCCAACTCTATCTTTCTAAAACAACTTTTTAATCATGTCACAAATCTGCTTAAAATCTATTAGCTAATCCAAATTTCCCTTTCTAACTTCCTTATTATTTTCAAACAAATTTTAGGTAGGTTTCCCTCCATCCATTTCTTTGTTCAGGTTGCCATTCTAAGATAAAGTATCTTCAACCTCCTTTAAAGCCCAACTGAAACTGGGCCCCTTTAATTCCAAACCATTTTTTCCCTTGCACATCTAGAGATATCAATAGCAACACTTAAGCATATGAACTATCCTGAACCATGCTACCTTCGCATATTATTGGGGATAGGGGAGTGTGGGTAATATCTAGTTGGTAAGTTGTATTAAAATATAGTAAATTTTAACTTTGACATGGACCACACTGGAGATGAATATACTGTTTCTCAATAAATCCAAATAAGTCCAACACAACCAATCCGACTACTAGCATTAAAACAAATATCATTTACTGAGTTCCAGAAACTCATAGCTGGCCTGCAATGAGGAGCTATGATACACAAAAAATATTCATATTAAGACCTAAGAGCCACACTTACTATAAGACACTCACACTGCAAGAGCTACTCAGGAACAGAAAGCACCTGATTCATGTATCCCACCTAGACCGGAAGTTCACTGAGTAATGATGGCCATTAAAATTATTATTTTCCTTCCCCACCCCCAGTTATTTTCCTAACATAAATAATTGAATTTCCATAAGTTAAACTCACAAAAGACGAGACTTGACTCTATGTAGGTATATCCTTTCTCTCTAAATAAATTACTAACTCCTTGAGCATATTACAGGCCATGCATTTTATTCTGGGCACCCTGAACTTTTTCCAGTTATTAAGATAGATGCTGACCTGATTCTTGTTCTCAATTTAGTGATCAATTTATTTAACTAATCACTACTGCCTAATATGAAATTATTAGCACATCACAATAGTATTAAACATGAGAAACTAATAAGCGTGTTTTATTTGTTTCTCTGGGTAACTACAGGATTATTTTTAGCTCACTTGTGAAGAGCTGAGATTACAAATACAGAAGCAAACATGCCAGATACATGTAATTAATTTAGTTGGTACCTCTGGACTTCAGCTGTAATGTATCAAATGCTACCTACTTAGAATATTTGCAATGAGTCCCAAAGAATGACCTACTTTAAAAGGTGTCTCACATTAAGATGAAAAAGGTCAAATTCAAGGCACTATATGTCATAGCACACTTCATTACAAAACAAACAAAACCCAGTAAACTCTAGTCACTTTCTATTTGGCACTTTTTTTTTTCTTCCTGAGCATGGCTTCCTCTTACCCTCCCATTTCACACATAGTACAAAAGCACTTACACATTCTTTAAACATTTTTTTTTCTTTTATGAGTTTTGGCAAGTACACCTATGAACAGACTTTCTGGAGAGGGAAGGGGAAGGAGAGCTTTTACCTAACCTGCCAAAGTTACTACATGTTCTCTTCCTGAACCAACTGTTTACTGTTTTATACAGCCCTTCCCTAACCCTTTAAGTTCCGACTTCAAATCCCCAAGGTCTGATTATAGATATTTTCTCAACAAGCTTATAGAAAATACTAATGACAACACACAGGAATTCCATGTTATGACATTTAGACCACAATAAAGAAAAATCTTTATTTTTTTTCCCCCTATTGACTTAAAAGAGAGAAATATCAATGTGAGAAGTACATCGATCAATTGCCTCTGCTACATGCCCCCACCGGGAATCAAACCCCCAACTGAGGTACCCGCCCTGTCCAGGAATCGAACTCCGACCTTCCAGGGCACTGGACGCTGTGGTCAACTGTTCCAACCAACTGAGCCATGCTTGCCAGGGCAATGGAGTGTATCTTGATACTCAATTATATAACAATGCTCCACTCCACTTAACCTCATTGAAAAGCCTCCCTTAAAACTGTTTATCCTTTTTTGTTGTTCCTACCCACCTTCTAACAACACTTCCCCTCAGCTCTGAAGCAGCCCCTCTTTTAAAACAGAGACCTGGCCCACAGCCTCTGTCGGTTACTGTTGCCTCACAGACCTCCTGCTTTCAGAGTGCTGCCCTGAAAAGCAGAAGCCGGGGAAGCCTTGTGGAGGTCGGGGTGGAAGCAGGTGCGAACGGGCCCAGCAGCAGGAGCCATGGCTGCCAGAGTGTTGGAATCCATCGGCAAGGTTGGCCTGGCCGCAGCCCTCGCGGGAGGCGTGGTGAACTCGGCCCTGTACAATGTGGACGCGGGGCACAGAGCGGTCATCTTTGACCGGTTCCGCGGCGTGCAGGACACGGCGGTGGGGGAAGGGACCCACTTCCTCATCCCCTGGGTGCAGAAACCCATCATCTTCGACTGCCGCTCCCGACCCTGGAACGTGCCGGTCACCACGGGCAGCAAAGACCTGCAGAATGTGCACATCACGCTGCGCATCCTCTTCCGCCCGGCGGCCGGCCAGCTGCCCCGCATCTTCACCAGCCTGGGCGAGGGCTACGACGAGCGCGTGCTGCCGTCCGTCACCGCCGAGGTCCTCAAGGCGGCCGTGGCTCGCTTCGACGCCGAAGAGCTCATCACCCAGAGGGAGCTGGTCTCCAGGCAGGTGAGCGAGGACCTCGCGGAGCGAGCCGGCGCCTTCGGGCTCATCCTGGACGACGTGTCCCTGACGCATCTCACCTTCGGGAAGGAGTTCACAGAAGCCATAGAAGCCAAGCAGGTGGCCCAGCAGGAGGCCGAGATGGCCAGGTTTGTGGTGGAAAAGGCCGAGCAGCAGAAGAAGGCAGCCGTCATCTCTGCCGAGGGCGACGCCAAGGCCGCAGAGCTGATCGCCAACTCGCTTGCCGCTGTGGGCGACGGCCTGATCGAGCTGCGCAAGCTGGAAGCCGCGGAGGACATCGCCTACCAGCTCTCCGGCTCCCGGACCGTCACCTACCTCCCGCTCCCGCTCCCGCTCCGGCTCCCGGGACGTCTCCTGCCTGCGCGCCCCGGAGTCGGAGTCGGCGCTCCTCCGGCTTCCCCAGCGAGGCCTGCCAAGCCCGCACCTGCTGGGCCCAGGCCACAGCCCGCACCTGCTGCTGAAGTCGGTGCTCCTCCGGCTTGCCCAGCGAGGCCTGCCCAGCCTGCACCTGCTGGGCCCACGCCACCGCCCTGAGGAGTCTTAGCATTGTGTTCCTTCTGCCCCTGCCCCAGGATCACTGTGAAATCTCGTGACTGGCTTCAAGTGAAGGAAATAAAAGTAAAATCACTTCAGACCTCTAAAAAAAAAAAAAAAAAAAAAAAAAAAAAAGGAGAAACTTCATCCTGAGACTAACAGACTGCTTCCTGATTTGTTTCAGATCCTCAAAGCTTTCTTGTTTTGGTCACCATAATGGTTTATGTTAACAATAATCTTTCTTACAAGGAAGTTCAAAAGTATGTTTCAACCATTTCATCCTATATAGTAAAAGGCTAATATGCAAATGGACAGAACGGTGGAATAGCCGGTCATTATGGCACACACTGACCTCTAGGGGGCAGACACTCAAATGCAGGAGCTGTCCCCTGGTGGTCAATATGCTCCCTCAGGGGGAGCACCACTCAGCCAGAGGCCCTGAGCTGGGCTCAGGGCTGGCAAGTGCAGCCGTGGGGGCGGGAGCCTCTCCTGCTTCCACAGCAGCGTTAAGGATGTCCGACTGCCAGATGTCAGACAGGAGCCAGCCTAAGCCATCAGTTGGACATCCCCCGAGGACTCCCAGACTGCAAGAGGGCGTAGGCCAGGCTGAGGGATCCCCGAGTGCCTGACTTTCATGCACCAGGCCTCTAGTGTCATCATAGAAACTGGAAAAGATGTAAGTATGGCTTCTGTCTAAACTCAGGCACAAAATAGCTTTCTACTTTTACCTTTCATTTACCTCAAAACTCATCATCATACAAGATAACAAAAAATGATAATGTAAAAGTTTTAAGGTTTCCTTCTGAACATTTCTTGCAAGCAAATATTCATCACAATTTTGCAAATAAGGAAAATAACACCAATTTCATTATCTTAGTACAGCAATAATAAAGTTAGGTAAAGACTATCCACTGAAAATAAAACCTTGTACATTTATGTTTGAATTTTTTTTTTATCTTTTCATACTAATTTTAGTGTGGTTTCTATTATTAGTGAAATTCAGAACTAATGTAATTACAAGTTATTGTCGGTCTTCTTCATTCATCCAAAGGAACAAAAAAAAAAAAAAAGTAGAAGAGTTTTTTTGAGTTGGATATCAAATCCCCTTGGAAACTGAAAAGGGAAAGCAAGGTGATATTCTCCCTGTTCAATGTTGTTAACAGATATGACCACACATTAGGTTTTCAGAAAAACCATTTATAAAAGCACAGGAAAAGAACAAAGTAGGGAGTAGTTTTGGTTAATGCCATGTGAAACACAATATTTTGAGTAACTTTGACCAGAAAGGGCAATTTTGTCTATTTTAACCTGCTTTTACGAACAACACCTATTATTGAAACTGATTAACCCACCTTCTCTAGAGAAAGCCATGGAGTCAATTGTGAAAGCTATGGAGAAAAAAGAAGGTCCATAACCTTTTCTTTTCCTTCTAGGAGAAGTGTGGAACAGGGTGATCTCAAAAGACTGCAGAACCACAACCACTCCCATTGCTTATTTGACCTATCTTTATTTGTCACAGAGGGGATTCATGGTGTCCTTTTTTGGATCTCTGAATATTCAGTTTACTCATTCTTCTTGGTCTAAATTCAGTGCTACTTAAACCAAAGAGCCTTTCTAATGATTCCAATCAGTAGTTCTCTCTGCCCTATTCTGAGCTTTCACAAATCTTAATCCACAGCTCTTCAAGATTATGTTTGAAGACAGCATTCAGTATTAGCATAATGAATGAAGGTAGCTGCCCCTCTTCTCCCCTTTTATTATACTAAAACAATGAGTATATCAAATGCCTCTGGTTCTCATGTGGTTGTCTTTAGTTAGTTGATTCATTTCTTAAGTAATAGCTAAATTGTCTACTGTTTTATTGGATTACTAGTATTTTTAAAATTGAGTCCATTACCTCATATTTCTTTATATAAATATATGAATCTAAAACAAAATCCAAAATCTTCATTTTGATGAAAATATAAGGTCTTCTGTCCATTTGATTTATCAAGTGGGAAAAGAAGGGAAATTAGATTTATTTGAATTTTACTCCCTTTTATTTCCACAGCTTATTCTATGATGAGATGCTAAAGAGCAGGGAAATAGCTGAAGGGACAATAGTCAAAGGGAGAGAAAAAGGAGCATAAAATAATTCACAAAATGACTAATTTAACCTCAAATAATAGCAAGTTAACTGTATATATAGTTATTATCCTACACAACTCAAAACTAAAATGTAACACGTCGTCCTTTAATAACCTTTGAATTTATTATTTAGGGAAAAAAAAGTACAGCCTACCATCAGCTAGATTAAATTTGGCCATATATTCTGTTATATTACTAACATATCCAGCCATTTGTGAAGCCAAGAAAGAGTAAAATGTACTCTTAGGACTGGTACTCAACCTTGAAGTGCTGAAGGCTACTTCATCATCTACTGTGGGGACAAACACATGCATGCACATGCGAACCTAACACTTTGTTGTGTGGAAAGCTCAGCATAAACACCGTCATTGTAAATCACTGAGGTACCCATTTCTTTTAACATACACAAATCAAGGCAGAGCTAGAGCTCCCTGGGATTCCTACAAGAATATCTGAAATCACATATATAACGTTTTTCTCCTCCTGCTTTTCTCACGGAAAGCTCGAAATGTGGAGGTTATTTTCCTCTCCCACAACATGCAGGAAACTATCACAGCGCAACCAGTTTACCCATTATCATTTAAATACTGTTAAGACCACAGTTGTGCTTAATATTCCACAAATGACCCAGAAAGCAGAAAAGATCTCATTAGGTTCCTTCTAAAAAATTAGAGTTATCTTTCTAGTTTTATGTTTAGCATTATCCTAACCCAATTATTATGTCTTGATTATCCTTCCCATTTTGCCTTACAAATCTCATAAACTAAAAGTATTCACTTTTCTGTATACTGGTTGAAACTGTTTTACAGGCTAATCAATTACAGTTTCCTAAACCTACACATAAATAAAAAATATAATAATTTTTTCAAATCAAATATAATTCAGTTATTTATCTATGATCAAAGCCATAAAACACAATTTTCCAAAAATTATAATGGTTGTATAATCTACATTTGTTTGGTTTGAGCCAAGATGAGATACATGATGAGTAATATATTAATGACCTTTTACACTTGGTTCCTTCAAAGCTTCTTCATTTTATTCAGCATTTAGTTTAAAATTAAATATCTTAAATTGAAGCTGTTCTATGTTGCAAACACAGCTAAAATGAAGAGCTTCTGTGGCAGCAGTGACCAGATTTTAAATGCAGGTAGATCAATAAAAATAAATAAATAAATAAATAAATAAACACCAAGCACAGCCTCCATGTGTGAGTGGAATGGTTTATAATAGCTTGCAAATGACTATGTGCTTGCTGTAACCAGCTGTTCTTAAATTATGAATATGCAACCAATTTATGCTAAAGCCAAATCCCTGCACTATTTCTACAGAGAAATCCCAGTAGTTTTGCTTGTTCTACATGTGAGCTCCGTTAAGGATACAAATAGCGGTAAGCTTAGGAACAAATAGGACCAAACTATTGGCATTTCATGCACTGGGTCCATTATCACAGCAGGAGATGTCAATCATTGGGACATTCCTATAACAGCTCAGGCAATATGACAATGATCTTGGGGGCGGGGGGGAATCAAAAATCTCTGCAGCATACTCAAAGTCCTGACAACCTAATGCTTTCTCACTTCAGCCAATGAGATTGTCAAACCTGACCTACTAGAAGACTTGCATCAAGCTTGAAACATTCAAAAGCATCAATCATAAAAACAAAGACAGGACATTGAATTATACAGTATTAACCTCCAGGGTTTGCATACAGAGACCTTAGATTTATTTATGTCCCAGTGAGTTAAGAGCTTCAGTACACCGTTCTTTACACCAAACTGACTGCCAATTTGATGAACCTCTCTGCCCTCAGCAGGAGTGCTCTGTCTTTGATTAATGAGTGCATGCTTGTGGAAAAGTGTAAAGAGGAGAAAACAGAGGAAAAACACACAATTATGTCTACATATAGCTTAAGTACCAATAACTACCTTCCAAACAAATGCTTCTTTTCCCTTATATACACATACAAACATGTTAACAAACAAAACTAGTAAGGGTTCCTATCTATACTGATATATCACCATCATTATTAGTATTTCTAACACAAAATTTTTATTTTGAATGAAAAGTATTCAAAAATCTAAGTACAGGTTAAATTTCATATGTTATAAAAATAACTATTATTAAACCTCACCCAAGGATATTTTTTTCCATTGATTATTCAGAGGATGGAAGGGAGGGAGAGACATTCCGCACTAGCACGACTGGGGTGGGGAATCAAAACCTGTAAAGGAAGCACTTCCCTTGGTCAGAACCAAACCTGGAAGCCTTCAGTCCTTGGGCCAATACTCTAACCACTGAGGAAAACGTGCTAGGTCTACACATAATTATTTTAAAAAACAAGTTGTCAACTCTCTATGTTATACAGTAATTTTTAAAATATGCCTCATATTCTTTAAAAAGCCTATTCATTTTGAAAACTCAAGGTTTAACTTATAAGGATTATTAAATATTTTATATCTCAAACTGTATTGATTTGCCACAAATCACAGAGCATTCAAAATTGATTTAAAAGTCATGTAAATTAATTTTTTCTTTAAGCAAAGATGTCAATATTTTATAACTCCATATGTAACTATAAATTAATTAAATATATTTATTGCCCAAAATGTCAAAGTTAATATAAATTAAAATACTTACAAATTAAAGTTTTAAGCTTTTTATGACTCGTAATTAGAACTGCTCTCCTCTAAAGAAACCCAATGAGGAAAAATTCCTACTTAAATTATGGGATACTAAAAGTAAGCTAAGCATTCAGATTTCTTTTTAAAAGTTTTCATTTAATATATAACTCAATTTCACACAATCTAACTCATGACTATCTTCACTGACACAAATATGTTATGAGTAAATGTATTTCTTAAAAATTTTAT